GTCTTACCGGACGTCACAAAGGGACCCACATAGTTGCTGGGAAACAGACCGGAGAGGCCGTTCAGCTCTCCGCGCCACCATTCCGGCTCGTCGCGGCCCAACACACTGATGATGTCGTCCTTCTCGAATGAGAGCTCATCGTCGTTTTGTGCTTTGTACGGATAGAGAGAAATTACCTTATCTGCAATAGAATGAGAGTGGGGGAGTTATGCGTACGTCCACAGCGAGATTTACGTTGTTCAAACCAACCCAAGATTTGTTCTGTCATCTCAATGCGACTTCCCGAGACAGGGGTGTTGCGTCCGCTGTTGCGACCGCCTTGCAGCACCTTCACGTAGGTAGCCGGGAACCAACCGATCTGTCTGCGCCTGCCTTTAGCCTGCAGTTCTCCCTCCCACCAGCCAGAGTCGGTCTTCTTGCGGATCATGATCAGCTGGCCGCGCGTCAGCGACAGCTGTTCGGTACTGGTGGCTTCGTACGGCGCAATCACTTGTGCAATCTCCGATCGTTTGGCCCGCATGCCCTAGAAGACCGCGCGATAAGATGAAGGTAAGATTAGTTACGGACGCTGCAAAAGGGAGGCAACAACAAGCTGTGTCAACTATTTACGGGTGTCATGGAAGAGGTGCGTGACATGGGTCGGCTATAGCTCTCGGCCGGTTCGCTGCTTTGTGTCTTGGACTGTGTATTGATCTGGGAAACTTCAGTGTCTAGGTCTTCGTGCGCCTCCTCCGCCGCGGCAGTCTGCTCTGCCAGCTGGACTGTGGGCTGCTGCTGCTCCAGCTGCTCTGTTAGTGGTACCTCTTCCTGCAGCTGCTCGTGCTGTGGCAACGCATATGTTTCAGCTTGAGCAGCGTAGGCAGAGTTGCCGTTTAGTGTAGCCTCCTGGGTAGCGAGTGCACAAATATGACGGTGGCAAAGGGACACAGCACATGAAAAGCATTGGATTAGTAGATGAACATGATTGGTTAACACACGACTCTACTCTGGAGGGGTGTACACACAGCTTCCGTTTTTTTTTTTTGCAGTAGTGTCTATCCTACAGGTGTGCCAGCTACTCTACTCACCTGATCGACCGAGTCAGTCACTGCTGCGTCTGCCGCAACATTCGCCGCTGTGCCCACGTCAGCCTTCTGCACATAGTTCGAGGGGAACATGCCGGTACGATTGCCAATGGTGCCCGTCCACCATTCGCCCTCTTTCTTGATAACCATCACCATTTCACCGGCTCCAAAGCTCAGGTCTCCGTCCTCGGCTGATTCATAAGGATATGCGGCTATGTAGTACTCGATGTCGGAGCCAGCGGAGGCCAGGTCAGCGTCCAATGCGGGAGCCACATTGATATTGTCATTGTAAGTATCTGCCGGATACGGATTTACAGATGCTGCTGGTGCCGTCTCTTCGACCACCGCTGGCTCGATGGCTGAAGCCACAGCGGCGACGCCTTCTTCTTCCTCCAGCTTCTCAACATAGGACTCGGGAAACCAGCCGGTGTGGCCATTGATCTCCCCAGCCAGCCAGCCCGGTTCGGCATTCTGCTCGAGTGGAACCAGGATGAGGTCACCCGGCACGAATGTAATCTCCTCGGCATTGCGGGCATTGAATTCATAGACGGCGCGATATTTAGCGAAACCCTCTGGCGCTGGTCCACTCAGATCCACAGCTGGTGCTATAACAGCGCTAGTGTCATTGGTTAGGCCACCATACGGGTCGGCGGTGGCCGCTATGTCAGGCTCGCCCCAGCCTCCGCCAGAGGCGCCCGTGTCCCAAGCCGCAGTGGCTGTCACCTCGTTCTTGCGATTGTACTTCAATTCCAACACTGATGTGCGCTCCACATCGTACTCCTTGTAGAGTTCCTCGCATTTGGCGAGCAGAGCGGAGAGTTCGTCTTTTACCTCCGTCATCTGCAGGTCGTTCGAGTTGATGTCCTCCTTCTTTGACTCGATTTCCTTGCCAATATTTTCCACCTTGTCTTTGATCTGATTTATCAGCAGCTACGCATCCAACGGAAAACATATTTAATGTTATTTATTGCACATGAATGCTGCTATGCAAAAACTCACCTGCTTATGGGCAAAGGCAGCATTTAGCTGCTCCTGCTGCGCCTCACCGCCCATGGCAGCACCACTAGACTTGCTCTTAGCATCCCATTTGGCCCGCTCCTGGGTAAGCTGCATTAGTTTGGCATTCTGCTCCTTGATGCGCGTCTTCAGTTGGGCCATTTCGCTCATGGAAGTGTCCCGCTGCGTGCGCATCCCATCGATGACAGACTTGACATTGGTGACGCCAGCGCGAGTGTCGCAAATCCTCTGCGACAAGTCCTTTATCTGTAAGCCAAGAAAATAAATACTCTTTTCGTATGCAACAGTACCCCAAACACAACAACCTTTTCGTTTAGCGTGCTCAGCTCCACGTTAAGCTGAGTGTTGTGTGCCTTCTGTTTGAGGACACGCTCTTGTTCACGTTGCTTCTGTGCATTCATTTCGGCAATTCGCGCTTGCTCCCATTCCTGCTGGCGCTGCTTTTCTAGCTCCCTGTCAAGCAAACAAAAAAAGAGAGTAAAATGAGGATGGGCACAGACTTGAGACAGATCTTACTTTCTGGCTGCTTCTTTGGCCTCCAGCTCTCGCTTTCGTTGGTCCTCCTTTTCCATTTCAATTTCACGCTGACGCTGTAGCTGGCGCTCCAATTCCTCCTGCTGCTTGCGCTCCGCCTCGAGGCGAGCCTTCTCGCGCCTGTCCGCCTCCTCGCGTTCCTTACGCTCGCGTTCCTCACGCTCCTTGCGCTGCTGATCCTCAATGACCTTTCGCCTGCGGTCGAGCTCTGCCTGGCCTTTGACATAGTTCTCCTTGCGCTTGTCCTCGAACGAAGCTATGAATGGAAATGGATTGGCAATTATTGAAGTCAAATCTAAGAGACTTTCTCGGGACTTACTTTGCGGTAAGCCGGCCAGTGGATCGGCATCGCCTGCAGCCACACCGCCCTGGGACGAAACAGACGCATGCCGGGAGGCGGGCTGTGAGCCTGGTCGCGAGACCACACCCGAAACCGAACCCGGACGCGATTTCATCTTGCGCAAGTTGGGCGGCACCCAGTCCAAGGGCAGAGTTACAGGTATCTTTTCGCCGGCCATGGCTTTCTCGCAGAGGAACATGGCTAGGATGAACTCCTCGCAGCTTAGTCGCCCATCGCCATCGACGTCCGAGAGTGTCCAGATCTGGGCCAGCGTCACCTGCGGTAGTTTGCTCTGCACCAGGACACTGCGCGCCTGCGCGCCAGTCAAGTAGCCAGAACGGGTGCGGTCATTGGCATTAAATACCTGCGTGTATTTGCGCTTCTGGCCAGCCTGTACAGCCCACTCCGCCTGACTGTGAGACGGAAAAGAAGTTTCTTAGATTACTGGCAGCCCTGTTGGTATAGGTTCGTTGTTGGGTCTTACGGCGATTCGATGGATGGCGCCCGTTCCGAAATGGACATATGGCGGCTAGGTGGATTGCTGGAGGGCGGCGTGGGCCCAGCCGGTATTCCCGGTGGCGAGACGAGCACTGCTGCTGCTGCTGCTGGCACAACAGCCACCGGAGCAACGGGCACGGCGACAGGTGCGGCCACAGGAAGTGAAACTGGGGCAGCCAAAATGCCCTTTAGCGGATCGAGTGGACTCATGGAGCTCGTGGAGCCACGTGGCGTCATTGTGGGCGTTTTCTGACCATCGGTGAGCGAGGCTAGCAACGTGGGGGGCAGTGCTTTGGGTACCTCCATGCCGCGCAGCTTCAGATTTATCAGCTTGCATGCTATGCTGAACTCATTGATGTTCATCTTGCCATCGGAATCCGTGTCGGCCAGTGCCCTACAGGAAATGAAGAAACGACGGGAAAGCAAATATGTAAACAAAATAGCTGTTATCAGCACGGACGCCTTGGCGTGGCTGTCGAAGCGATTGATAGCCGACGCGCCAGTGAGTCATTACACTCCGTTCCACTCACCAGATTTGGCCCAAGATCAACGGCGGTAGCTGAGACTGCAGGAAGAATCCCTTCGCCTGGGCGCCCGTGATGAAACCCGCCTGGGGCTGGAGGCCTTTGAACTGCTCCTGGTACTTGAGCTTCTCCCGCTGGGTCACCGCCCACGCATCAACCGCTGGATTCATTTCGTTGCGATTCGCGATTTATTCTAATTTACGCACAGGTTCTGTTCTTCCTTCCTTCCTTCCGTCCGTCCGTCCTTTCCTTTTTTTCGGTGTTGTATCCCAGTTTCCTTCCGTATGTGTGTGTGTGTGTGTGTGTATATATTTCTTGCGACTCCCACACAAGTGTGTATAGTTGTGTGCGTGTGCTTAGTGCGCTCTCTTCGGCCGCTGCTGAGTACACATCAAATACATGTCATGCTCTTGCCTTTCGCTCTCTTTACTATGGCCTATTGAGTATCGTATCCGTTTGCGACTGCTTTTGCTCCCACCACCCCACAATTTTTCACAATGGATTTTATGCTTTACCTGAAATGCAATTCTTAATGTTAGAAACACACGTAGTCTATACACTGGAAAACAGTTCAAAACTAGATCAGCGACAGCGGCCGAGATATGAAAGTAAATGCAAGGGCTTTCAGATTTTTGCATTGGTAGGCGTTTTCACTGCACAGAAAATCGACAGGTAACCGCTACTCGGAATTAATGATGCACTTGCATTTCTCATTATATGCCGACACCACCACACACTCAATGGAACTTTACAGGGCTTTCTTACTTTTCATTGGAATAAAAAAATTCCTGTTATATTTGCGTAAATTTTTGTTTCAATCAATAGTAGGAATCAGTGTGACCATCAAATTTATCAAGCAGTGCTGTAAAATACGTCTAAAAGTGCCGTTTATCGCACAAAAATACCGATATATTACGTTTAATTTTTAAAAATCTCAATACCAATAAATTCTTATATGTCTATATTCAATAACCGAAAAATATTAATTGAAATCGAACGATCAAAACCAAACAAAAATGTCTGAATTAAATAATGAAATTAAAACTAAGTCCAGCACCGACCAGACAACCATCTCGCAGATGTCAGATGTGACCAGTTCTGCCTTAGGAGAGCAGAAGCCTACTGCTGGAACCAAGGATACTCACTGCTGGTTGATCTCTCCCGAGGAATACGGGAGCTTGGGAGAGCAGACGGTTCCCCAACGCTCCCTCTTCAACTTCTTGCCCCTGCAGGATAATCCTATTTACGTGGGAACATTACCGCACAAGAAGCCGATCTCCGAAATACTCGCCGAACAGGTGAGAGACAACGCAGGGGCCACATTGGAGGTGAATATCGAGGGGAGTCGGTTTTACTGCATACCAAACCTTGTCAAGTGCTATTCGGTGTGGTTCGCGAGATGCGACTGGCGTGCCTCCAGCTTTAACTTTTCGCCAAGTGAAGTGCCGGCCAGAGGTTTCAAGTGCGCCTACGAATGGATGCGCCTCCAGAAGCCGCCCAGCAGCAGCGACGTGGTGGAAACACTCCAGGTCGCAAAGTACCTGAAGATTGGCCTACTTGAACCCAAATGTTGGGAGGTGCTGGCCTCCAATAGTCTGCGCGAAAAGGCCGCCTTTATGGTGTTTCGCAAGGCAAAGGCATACCCGGAACTTCGTGATTTATGCAATGCGATGAATGGAAGGATTCGCAATTACTTCCTAGCGCTCGTGGGAAGCAAATATTTCACCGAGCTCTCAGTTGATGACCTGGAAAACCTACTCATGCGCAACACTATCGGAGTTAACTCCGAAATAGAGGTCTTCTTTCTGGTCCTGCGCTGGATGAACCTGGCGCGTGACGAACGCATGAAGCATCTGGGTCGCCTAATGAACTGCGTAAGATTCAATCTAATGCCGATAGTCTTCCTGTGGACACTTCGCGACGGTTACACGCACCCGGACAAGGCTCACCTTTTCTCGGCAGACCCCATTCTGCTCGCCTTCAACACGGATCCTACAACAGAATCGATCCTTACCGATGCCATGTCCTACGTCGCCATGGCCGACTCTTTCAATGGGGACCGTGACCGCTATTTGAATCACATGAAGGTGCATCGGTTGCCAGTAACCAAACCTCGCAAGTACGTCTACCATCTCAATTGCCCGTACCACAAGTACGTCCTAGGAGTTTCTGTAACCCACAATTTCAACGCAAACGAATTTGAAGAGTACATCGGGTCCTTGCAGGAGCTGTGGGAGGGAGACGGTCCGCCATCGCATGGGGATGAGTTGGTCGTCGATGCCCATCAGGTGGCCATGTAATTTCTCAAATGATACCGCAATTGCTTAATGTTTTAAGTAAATTTCTCATTATAATAAATAATAACTGTCAAACTTTAACTTTGAAAAATGCGTTAGTCTTATCTTTGACGAGATTGTGTATCGGGATCAGGATACATTTTCATATGTAAAAGAATTAATCAATGGGAACGATTACTCTCTTACGAATTTTTTGTTTACCTTTTCCATTAAAACCTTGCTTATGTAAAATCCAATAAAAGCAAGTATTTGAATTGAACCAGTTAAGTGGAAAATTTACTCATTAATTTAATAAAATAATGTGGGCATGGCTAAATGTTCTATCTAGCTAGTATTATTCCACGGAATATCAAAATCGAGGAATATGGTTTCCAATCCTTGACCGAGAACGATTAACCCATTGTAAACCAAAGGGGTATTTTAATATCCCACCCCATATTAATAATATTTAATATAGATATACATTTTTTAATTCAGAGGAAAGATGGCACGGATCTACAAGAAGAATTTGCAATCAGTAATATATTCCGCCATTTACCTCAAGTGGTTAAACTGTTTAAGTAGAGGGGGGTTAAGTGGGCTAAGCTCGATATCTTATCGATATACGAGACGGCGACCACGTGCGTGGACTGGTATATCTGCACCATGAAAATTTTTTAACAAAATGTCGGAAACTTCAGAAGACGAGCAAGCGCAGTTGCAGACCAGTGACGAGGAAGAGCTTAGTGGAGAAGAGGAGGAGGGGGAAGACCAGAATGAGGAGTCGGACAACGAAAATGATGTCAACGAAGTAGATAGCGAGGACGAGGACGAGCCCGCAGCAAGTGGCTCCGAGTCGGACACTGCTGCACCAACTGAGGATCAAAAGTTGACATGGAAGGACCTTGTATGTTACCGTAAACCCCGCGCCTTGAATTGGTTGTATTTAACGATTGATCGGTCCACAGGGTCTGAACGACACGCTGTGCCAGGCATGTGATGAACTGAAATGGAAGGCACCATCCAAAATCCAAAGAGAGGCGATACCAGTGGCACTTCAAGGCAAGGATGTGATCGGCCTGGCCGAAACGGGCTCTGGCAAGACGGGAGCCTTTGCTCTGCCCATTTTGCATGCGCTACTGGAGAGCCCGCAGCGGTATTTCGCGCTAGTGCTAACGCCCACACGTGAATTGGCCTTCCAAATAGGCGAACAGTTCGAGGCGCTTGGTAAGTGGTCAGCTAGTGCTAGACTATAGATCTTTCCTTTTGCACAATGATGTTAAACCAGTTTTGATTTTGTTGTTTAACGAAGCCATGAAATTATTATTTTATTTATTCGTCACTACCTCTGAGCACACCGGCTACAGCCACTGAACTAATTCTCTTATGAACTCATATCTCATGCAAGTTTTTGTTTCTTACAGGCAGCGGAATTGGCATTAAATGCTGTGTGGTTGTGGGTGGCATGGACATGGTTGCACAGGGCCTGCAGCTAGCCAAGAAACCGCACATAATCATTGCCACACCGGGCCGTCTGGTAGACCACTTGGAGAACATGAAGGGCTTCAATTTGAAGGCCATCAAATATTTGGTCATGGACGAGGCAGATCGAATTCTTAACATGGATTTTGAGGTGGAGCTCGACAAAATACTAAAGGTATTGCCACGTGAACGTCGCACATTCCTGTTCAGTGCCACAATGACCAAGAAAGTTAAGAAGCTTCAGAGGGCTTCATTGAAAGATCCCGTCAAAGTGGAGGTCTCTAACAAGTATCAGACCGTAGAGCAGCTGCAGCAATCGTACCTTTTCATACCCGTCAAGTACAAGGATGTATATCTAGTTCACATACTCAACGAGCTGGCCGGCAATAGCTTCATGATTTTCTGCAGCACCTGCAACAACACTGTGAAGACCGCCCTAATGCTGCGAGCCCTGGGACTGGCCGCCATTCCCCTGCATGGGCAAATGTCGCAGAACAAGCGTCTGGCGGCGCTCAACAAATTCAAGGCCAAGAATCGCTCCATTCTAATCTCCACAGACGTGGCTTCACGTGGCCTGGACATTCCGCATGTCGATGTGGTCGTGAACTTTGACATACCCACCCACAGCAAGGACTACATTCATCGAGTGGGGCGTACAGCTCGAGCGGGCCGCTCGGGCAAGGCCATCACCATTGTCAGCCAATATGATATCGAGCTGTATCAGCGAATCGAGCATCTGCTGGGCAAACAGCTGCCGCTCTACAAGTGTGAGGAGGACGAGGTGATGGCCCTGCAGGAGCGTGTGGCTGAGGCTCAGCGTACGGCGAAGCTGGAGCTGAAAGATCTTGAGGACACCAAGGGCGGCAGGGGTCACAAGCGTGGGGGGGACAATCACGATGATTCAGAGCACTTTGCGGGCGCGCGAAAGCGCATGAAGCCAATGGCCAATGGGGGTGGGGGTAAGGGCAAGAAACCCTTTGCCAAGAAAAACTGGAACAAGGGAAAGCAGAAAAGATAATAATACAGTAATTTATACATATTTAAGCCCCGTTTTATTTAATTGTCATACAATTCGGAATACAAGAAAATAATCTATTTGTACGCAAGACAATCTTTTTATTTTCTGTATATATTGTTTGGCGGTGGCCAAGACGTAATTCCTACATTTTGAACAGCGATCTCTTCAGTTGCATTTAGCTCTCAGGGAGCGTAAGAAGGGCTCAAGAGTATGTCGCCGTATGAAGTGAGGCTTCTTTCTATTAAGGGCTTCATTGAATCCAAGCTTGATAAACTCTGCCTTCAGCTCTCGCATTTTCGCCCCAGGGTCGATTCGCATGAGCGACGAAAGAATGGTTCTCCATATCTCAGTTGGTAAAGAGAACCATTGTGTCTGGCAAAATTCTGCCAGTATTCTATTCAAATTCTATCAGTATAATCGTACCAGTTACAACTCGAAACATTGTTATAGTCATTTACTTGAACTCATGCGCTTTACTGGGGATCCATAGGTAATAGGTAGGAACTGTCGGCAAGAAAAAAGTGAACAACTGAAAGCAGGAAATATTGTAAGTACACACCTATTTTCTTATGTCCTGTTTTATTTAATTATCATAGTGTTCGTAATACAAACATGTTTGTAAATTTCTAAATTTGAGTTTTAATATCATTACCGTCGTAATGATACCAAGTCCGATGGGATGTTATAATTCCGAACCTAAATACATCTTCATTTGGGTTGGATTCTGCTGATCAACAGCATAAGAATTAATTATCTTTTTCCGCAAATAGCTTGATAGCAGCCGTCAGCTCTTCTCTCAATTCCTCAGGGGCCACACCCATGACCAAAAAGAACTTTACTGCCTCGCTTTTCAATTCGTGTCTCTCGTTGGCCGCCGAGAGAATGGTTAATAATACCTCAGTTGGTAAACTGAACCCATATATCTGGCATAGTTCTACCATTTTATCAGTATAGTTGTACCAATTAGAGGATCCAAGAACTTTTAATATTGTTAACGTCGTTTCCGTAAAGTTGTGCGCTTTACGAGGCATCCATAGGTATTCCATAATGCATAGTGTGGCCTGCGTTTCCAAGCCCATGTTTTTCAAGGCAGTAAAGGCTTTATTAATAATGGAAGCACAAAGTGACTTGTACAATCGACAATCCATCAGCAAGTGCAGCAAGTCGTTCTGCAGATTTTTAGCTTCAAATATATCAACATAAACCGGAGCGAATGTCAGGAAGAGACGTTGCCAACGCATTAGCATTTGTTGATATGTGAATAACAGGCTATCCACATCCAGTCTCATCAGTTTCCGGCTTAACTCTCCGATGTCGGTGAATGTATGATTACAGCTTTGGGCGCTGCACACATCGTCTAGATTTTCCAAGCACTTGACTCCAAACAAATTCAACATCCAGTACTCATCACTAAACCACTTGGTCCTGTCCGTACGAATAGTTTGCATAGTCGCAGCAGTTGAACGATAAGGTGCATCAAATTTCGGTACGGGTTCGATCACATGCCGAGCAGTAATTGCCTGGGTACGTGGATTGCCAAGCGATGGCGTTACTGTTGCAGCCTGCTGCATCGTCAATGTTCGGTTATCCTGTCGGGGACTTATGGTTTGAGGAGGCGCTGAATATAGCGTTTGTGCGACTGAAGCTGGAGAAGGCGCTGTATATATGTTTTGTGCAAGTGAATTCACATGAATCTTTCTCCCTTCCTGGTCGTTTGTCGAATTTACTAGTGGACTACGTACTAAAGTTCGAGACGGCGCTATAGATAGAGCTGAAGGAGGCACTGAATATTGAGTTTGCGCAAGTGAAATTCCCTTTATCTTCCTCTGTGCTTTTTCGTTAAGCGTGTGTATTGTTGGAGTGCGTACTGCAGCTGGAGGCGGCGCCAAAGTTATAGCTGGAGCCACTGGATTCGCGTTGTGGCCAAATATGTTCTGCCCCTGGTCGCACAGCGGCTGGATTATTGGGGTAGCCTCCAATGGTAGAGCAGACGCCAATGCTAGAGGAGGCAATACATGTTGGGCGAGCACGAATGGTGAAGCAGATGGTGTAGATGTAGCAGACCATGATGATTTCCGTTGCTTTAATGTCCGCCTCTGTGGCTCCTCTTGTTCCTTTTCGTTGAGTGCCTCATTGTTGTACAGCGAGCACATTATTTTCGGCTGCGACTGGAGTATTTCTTTGGTAAGTCGAGGTATACGAAAATTTCTCAATGAAGCTTCTGAGGGCTCTGGTTGTTTTTCCTCCTCCTCCATGTCATCCCAAGATGTCGCCGTAACCGACAAGACATCATCGTCCACGTCTCCATCCTCTTCATAGTCAAGGACCTCCTCCTCCTCCTCCATGAGGTCCGCCTTTTCTAAATCGAATTTGGACGAATTTGGCAACCGTTCGAAGAACTCCGTTGTGACGGCCAGTTGATCGTCGATTTCACTTGGCGTTTTAGTGGTAAAGATTTTCAGGCAACGATCTATTTCAGGTGTACGATCGCCTTCATCACCCAATTCGAAAAGAGTCATTATCTCAGTGTGCTCTACATTGTTCTCGTGGCTTAAATCGATCTTTTTGTCAGTACAGCACGCCGTTATGGGACTCTCGACGAACTCCGGATCATCGTCCACTATTTCTGCTTCCTTTTCTAAATCCATGAGCTCTTGGATCTTTCGCACAGCTATCCCTATCTCTGCAGATTCCTCCAATATGTCAGTGCTTAAATCGGTAGGAGCAGGAACCATTTCAATCTTAGGCATGAAAGGAACGCTCTCCAAATGGTGGCTAATCTGTGGCAACAAAAAAAATCTATTAGGATGTATATATTCCAAAATACAGCGTACAACTTTTACTGGAACATGTGTTTGTCTCCTTCTCTTGATTGGCTGCAGTGGGATTGGTATGGTGTCTGCTGGTTTACGCTTAACTGGAGACTTTGAGGGGCTATTGTTTTCTATGGTTTTATTATTTTTTCCCTCAGTTTCAGTCCCATTTGTTTTGGTTACGTGCTTCCGCAATTCCGACAAGGGCACATCATCAAGGAAGTTTTCGACATCTTCACGTTGCCTTTCTAAGATGCGATCGCGCTGTTTACGAGACTTTGTAAGCTTCCATGAACACGAAAAGTCCGCCTGAACGATAAAAAGTATACCAGAATATTTGCATATGGCGCTACTAAATCAAAATAAGTTGTGTTTCATACCTCTTCAAGTACAGGGCTGGACGGAATAGATCCTTTAAGAGTCGATGGCGGAATATCTCCGTCAGGAGTCGCCGGCGATTTTGTCCGTGGTTTAACAGAGGTATGCTTTGATGATCCTGATTGATCCCCCTGATCGATACATATGTTATATAAATACCTGTTCAATCATTATTGATTATGTTTTTTACCTTTTCAGTCCCAAGTAAATCCAGAGGAAGCAAACTCGTTATATGCTTTGGTGACTGCGATTTTTCTCCCTAAGCGATATAAATTATAATTACAACTGCGTCCAACTAAGAGGATCACTTAAACGCTAGACAAAATTCAGCGAACAGTCGAGCATCAGCATCAGTGGAGCTCTCTGCATCACCCCAAAAATGGCATTTTATGCCTACAAAGCCTTGACGTATCAGGAAAGGGGAAAGAAATGTCTGCAATACGTTCAAGATACTCAGATCAATGGGCATCTCAGCACTTTGATCACTCATCTATTCTAATGTACAACTACTGCGTTTCAAGGAAGTACACGAATACCTGCTTCAATATAAGCATCCCTCACAGAGACGAATGGCCCCGACGGGCCCCTTTACATCCTCACCATCTACTGTGATTAGCTGAATTTTAGGCATTCTCTCAGGTTCCCGGATCACTGCAGAAGCTTTCAAGTGGGAGTAGCAGCTAACAAATAATCACTTAACAGTCTCCAAGGATTTTCAGTTAACACAGCGGGACCACAATGGAACGAACACGGCCTAAGTCCCGCCTCAATCTTACCTAATACCTGTTCAATATATTTTCTATATCTATTATGTTTCTTACATTGTTACCTTGCGATTTGTTCCCCAGAAGAATACAAATTATATTTTGATACCAATCAAATCATTATTGATTTTGTTTCTTACCTTTTCAGTGCCAGCACGGTCTAGAGGAAGTGAAGAGCCAGTGTGCTCCTGAGGCGGAATAGAGCTGTACAAAATCGCTGCCGATTTTACCTCACTCATGAATTTTTTGTGTTTCGGGTTTTGTGTAGGCTTGGGTGCTCGCTTTTTGTCTCTCTGCACGATATAAATGATATCTCAGTAGCTATTCAATCAGTACTTATCATGTTTTTTACTTTTTCCAGCTCAATGTGTCCGTCAGAAGTCGGTGCCAGTTTTGGTCTAGGCCTGGAACTGGGCCTGCAATTCAACAATTGCGATTGGTCCGTCTGTACGACATAAATTCTGTATTAATACCTATTCACTCAGTATCAATAATGTTTCTTACGCTTTCAGGCTCCGAGTGGTCCAGAAGAAGCGACATGGGTTTACGCTTTGATGAGCCAGTGATTTCCTGAGTAGGCGGAACAGAGCCGTCAGAGATCGCTGACAATTTAACCTCAGTTTTAACTCTGCTTTGGCTAGCCTTTGATGATCGCTTTTGGTCCCCCTTGCACGATATAAATGATACGTTAATAGCTTAGCTATTCAATCAGTATTTATCATGTTTCTTACTGTTTCAAGCTCAATGTGTCCGTCAGTAGTCGGTGCCAGTTTTGGTGTACCTCTGGAATTGGGTCTACGATTCAATAATCGCGATTGGTCACCCTTTACGATATAAATTACCTAATTAATAGCTATTTGGATTTCTGTTATCAGTTTTCTTACATTTTCAAGGCTAGTGGGCTCTCGAGGAAGCGCAATTAATTTGTCAGGCGTTGCTACTGGTTTTGTCCGAGCTTTGACCGCGCTGCGGCTTGGCTTTGATGATTGCGTTTGGTCCTATACGATACAAATTATATGTTAACATAATTCAATCGGCATATATATTTTTTCTCACCTTTTCAAGCCCAAGGAGGACCAAAGGAAGCGAACTGGGCTTACGCTGTGATGAGCCAGTGTTCTCGTGAGCAGGCGGAATAGATCCTTCAGAAGTTGCTATCGGGTTGGTCTCAAGTTTAGTGCTTCGTCTACGCGTTGATAGACGCGATGCAAGTCCCTGAACGATGTAAGTAATATGTTATTATTTAGTCAATCAGCATTTGTTATGTTTCTTGCTTTTTCAAGGCCAGAGTACGCCCGAGTCGTCTCTTGCAGTTCTTCGCGCAAAGTAGCTTCGGCCAATTGATCTTTAGAAAACTTATCGAACTGAAAAGAGATATATATATTAATAGCAATTCAATAAATAGTATTTATTTTCACTTAACTGTTAGTGTGTTCCAACTCCTTAGGAAGTCTGCGCGTAAGATCTTCCATTCGTGCTTTGATAATCTGTCTGCGCCATGTTTCTTCTTCATCTGCCGCCATAGTCTCAAGTTCTGCTCTTCTCTCATTTTTGTTACAGATCTTATTACATTCAGTTTTTTTATGTTTTAAACGCACGTGAAAATTAAACCTAATTTTTTTTATCACCAATCAAGTGCCGTTATGTTCAAGAAGCCATTCTCTCTAGTGATGTAAAAATACATCGATGCATCGTGAATCGATGTTTTTTTGCCGATGTTTACCGATGTTTTCCGGTATTTTTGCATCGATGTTTTGCAAAACATCGATCGCTTGATTTCAAATCATTGCGCATTTGTCACCTGTAAGCGGCAAACACAGCAATGCCTGCCTCATTGAAAAGCAATCCTTCGTATTTTTGGTACGGTATGAAAAGTACCTATCCTAATTTATACAAAATTATACAATGCAATTTTTGACGTTAATGGCATCTTCCGTACCCTCTGAACGGGTGTACTCAGCGGCTGCGAGCATATTAAGTCGAAAACGTAATAGACTTTCACCTGCGCGACTAAGTCCCATTTTGGTTTTTGCAAAGCATTGGCCAAAAGTACTTATTTGAAATATTAGTTATCCCTGATCTACAATGATATGTAAAAGACTGCTATGAAAGCATAATCATTTCTTTTATGTTAAATATTTTTCCGTTTAGTCCTATGATATGTAAAAGACTGCTATGAAAGCTCAAGTTTAACTTTTCCTTTGTTGAATATTCGTTTTATAATCAAATGGGAAAGTTTTGAATCGGTCATACATCGAAGAATCAATCCGATGTATCAATCCAACATCGATGGACATCGACATCGATGCTTTCATTCAAACTTACATCACTGATTCTCTCTGGCAAATATACTGTCGATGATCAGAAATACAAAAAATATACCTTCTCATTTTAAAAATATACCGTTATCAACCGGTTATTACGACGAATTCCTGTTAGTTGGTATATTCTGGTATTAACAGTATATACTGTATGGTTAGTGATGGTACCAGCGTACACCTAAGAAGTATCGGATAATTTTGCTGATGATACTTTTCTTGACCGTCAGGTGCCTCTGGGCGAATATCATCCCTGTGTAGTTGCCATGTTTCAAAATTACTTAAGCGCTAGATCTTTCACTATTTTGAACAATATGTTGTTTGTTTAAAACAAGATACAGCAAATCTGGGGCGGTTGATGGTACCTTGCTCTAGCTCACACACCCTGCAAATGTTATACTTTTCATAGTTTTTTCCAAAAGTGTAAAGACATTAATATAGTGGAAATTATTGTGCAACATTTTTACTTAAGCCTTATGTTATAAAAAATCCAGTAAAAATAGGTTAAATTTAGACATCCCTTTAGGAAATTGATTTATCAATCGGGCAAAATTATGAGTAGAGAGCTTAGGGTCTTAGCTAGCCAGTAATATTAAACCGAATATCAAAAACGAGGAATATGATAGAACTTGAATACAAATAATTCGTCAGTATATTTACGGTATACTTGGAAATAAGTGACGTATTTTCCGTATATTTCTGCGAGTCAGACCGTCTATTTCATGGGCAAGTCCGCGGATTTTAAAATTAAAACTCATAAAATCTACGCCCAAAACAGTGTTGCGGGTGTGGGAAATTGCGCTGAAAATTGAATTAATTGACAAAAAAAGTTCCTCGTGTCTGCCGCTGCCTTTAAACAAATATGCTGTTTGCTGCGGGCATTGCAAAATATTGCAGCGCAGCAGAACCCAGGGCGAGAACAGTACACAAAATATCGAGAGAATCTTTAATAAATGATGAATGAATAGTATTATGTACATAAATATAAAAGGTATGTATAAACCACCACACATTCTTTTCAAGAATGAATGTATGCGTGTGCCTACAAATTTATTGGTTTGTTGTTAGTCTGCCAAAAATACATGGAATTAAGCTAGTTAAAATTTCTACTTCTATAAAAGAAATCAAAAGGTCAAATTGTACTAATCATAAATATTTGCACAACGCACTCGGCCCATTACAATCGTTACAAAGTCGTTGTAAGTCCCGTCCGTCCAGCAGCTAAGAGCATTGTACGTCAAAGAGTTCACAGATGCCTTCGTCACTTTTCAAGACAAAGTTGAAGTCATCATGTGGCGGGTTCAGTTGGACCAGTGGGGGATTTTCTGTTAGAAAAGAGAAAAAATAACATATTATTCGGTCTCGGAGCAGCCGAAGAGAAATGAACAACCAACCTAAATTGGGATCATCGGGATAGAACCTTCGCAGCGAGTGGCCAGTCATGTAATTTTGAAAGATTATTTTCGCAGTGAGTTCGTTTTCCAGCAGCTTCATCTCCTCCTTTAGATCGGGATTGCATGAGTACGTATGCTCGTCAGTGATGACGTTTCCAGTGCTCGTGGGACCGGTGCCATCTTCGCTGGATCGGGACGAGGTCGATGGAGATGGGGTGTCCAAGCGGCGATAGTCAAAGAAACCGTCAGCATCGTTTGGATTTGTTGTACTCTTTCCCTGGTTTGTGACCAGCCGTATATCAATGGTGCTGCCATTATCCAGGGAAACGCGGAGTTCGTTCTGTTTTTTTTCGGAAGTGGATGAATCTAGCATTTCGACTTTGATTAACTACGTTCTGAAAATTGGCTTACATCACTGCGCTGGATCTCCACCTCTTCGTCGTAATTGGGTATGGTGAAGACGGAGTCATCAGCATATATTTGCAGGAGATCGTCCCGCGTTAGATAGGCATATGAGAGATTTGTTGGATCTTGCATTACATATCGCAAATTCCGTTGCGCATACTCTAGCTGCATGTCCAGGTCTTCTTCCTCCTTCTTCAGATTATTGGTACCCTCACGAGCGACATCGTACTCCTCTTGGTCCTTGGCATTGTTGAACCCCCCTCCGCTGTTGCGAACCAAATACAAAATAGAACAATTGGAAGCCACCAACGAGGAGAACACTTACCGCCAGCGCACTAGGGAACAGTGTCTGCCTTTATCGATCAGGCCAATGCCCTCTAACACATTAGTTATATCGTAAATACGACGCTTCTGCACATCTAAGATTTTCGTGGCCTAAAGTAATGCAAAAGCGATAAAAAAAATTGATCGACTAGAAATAGCTGAAGACACACCTCTTTCAGATCAATGGACCCACCATTGGACTTCATGAGCTGCACAAATTTTTGAGTTAATAAGACGAGCGAGCCCACAGAGCGCTGCTGAACTGGATGGGATTGAGAGGGCGATTTTAGCGGCTGTTGCTCCTGATGGTCTTGAGACATGTCCATTTGAACGGTCTCATTCTCATACGCCTTTATCGTCATCGCCTCATCCGTGTCCACATTGCTAACAGAACCTTTGGCGTTGTTGTTCTTCATTTTGAGGGCAGAGCCCGGGCCCGCGCTGTCCCTTAATACAATACTTGAAGATTTACGCTTGTACATGGCACGCGTTCTAATGGAAGTCTTTGTTCCGTATTTGGTAACTATAAAAGTGGTTGCACTGGATTTGACACGCGTTTAAACAACAAACAATGATTGCCTATTACGAAAAATCTCAATTAAATACAAATGTTGGCGCTTGAGCAAAATTTTCCGCCATTTATGTCACTTTTTTCATTCTACTCTATTCTGACTTTTGCATAGTGCTGCAAAATGACACGCATTGCAGAAATATACCGAAATATACGGTCTCATCTTCAAAATATACCGTAAATACCGAAATACATGCTGTTGCCCTTTGTTGTACATTTTAGAATAAATTTAATTTACTTTTACAATAGAAACAAAATCTGAAAACGTACTAGTAGATCGTTTATGCGTTTGTGTCGATCGAAGACAAGCGAGTGCTGCTTAGCAGTTGGCCAAGGTTCCCAGATTCCGCTGGCCTTCGCTGCAGTTCCTCAAAGTTGGCGGCACGGTCTTCCATTTCGATTTATTCGTATTTTGTACATGTGTGTACAGTCTGTACAGGTACATGTCGTATTTTCCAACTCTAAGCTCGAATTAAAACACGAAAAAATATGAAATTTTCTTATATTTGTGTATTTGTTTCTATATAGTTGTTGAATCTGCATCATCTAATTTGGTTTTTTGACCCTCCTGCAACCGTTGCAGCTGTTTTAGCTGCGCATCACGTAGTACATCAAGGATTTTCCACTTTGCTTCAAAAAAAAATTCATCATGGATTTGCTCCAAATCTATTCGAATTACCTGTGGGGAAAATGGCATTAGCTAGTGAAGTCAAAATAGAGTTTAAAATAAGAATTATAACCTCGCAAAGATTGGCAATATGCTGGCCCTTATTGGATATTATATATTCTGATGGAAGTAGGGCCACTGTTTGTTCCGTGTTGCTGGTATTTCTGTTGGATGATTCTGCAAAGTCCGTAAGATCTGCTTGCATTGCCTCACTACCAGAATCTATGCGATCTAATTCGACCACCTGGATGTTTGTTAGCTGTTCAACAGCAGACGCTGCTGTCTCCGCCACCGCGTGGGTGAGGAAACCAAAGTCTGGGTAATCAAAGAGCTTAGGCATCGGCAACTCCTTCCTTCCGGCTGCTTCCCATTGATCACGTAGAACATGCACTTTTCGTTTGACTGGAACAACCGGCATATTTGTATCTATGGCGGAGGCAATATCCTTCCACACCTTCTCCTGGTACTCGGCACTCTTGTAATCGGGACAGCTTGGATTCCAGAGGCATTCATTCTGACGATATAGATTTATCAGCTTCGTCACCGTATCCTTTTGCGACAGCAATGTATGGAATTTGGCTCTTCGACTGATTGTCACATTGAATGCATTCAGACGACGAGGCGACGACCCGGCGTCTGAATCGGATGAGGAGCCACTTGTCGAGAAAATATTCATCAAGCTGTGATAATTCTTTTTGATTAATCCAATAAAGCCGGAGTTTGACATGACAACATATTTCCACAAAATTAATTTTGAAACTGGAATTTTTCAAACCTGTACAGTGTACACACCACGTGTTATAGTCTAGGGCAAATTCCAACGGACGAATTTCTTCAACATACAAGTCGGTTTCTTTTGAGCAGGTTTATGCTTTACTCGGCACTCGTGCATGATAAAAAGTATCTTATTTTGTGCTTTCAAGCAAGCATCTGCAGGGAGCTGACCCAGTTCTTGCCTTAGTTCATGGCAGAATTCATCCAAATCGGCATCGGAATCTTCACCAGAGCCAGAGCTTAGAAATGTAGTGATAGCATCAACATCGGGATTGGCAGAGTCTACAGAGTCACTGACTTCGTCAGAGAATTGCAGGCTTTCAGAGTCTTCAAATGCACCGGAATCAGGTTGCAGTACTGGGCGACTGGGTTGCATGTTATATGCAGGAGCTTTTGCAGGAGCCGTGCTCTCAACTTTCACTTGCTGCGGCAACAAGAACAGGAATTCATCTAAAAGGTCAAAGGACGGCTTTCCACAGAGACCACCCCTCTTTTTACATGCTTCAATGCGTCTAAACTCGTCCAAAGCTTCTCTACGCAAATTCTTCATTACACATTCAACTTCATATCCCGACACGTTCGGGCCGAACTGTTTCGCTATCCAGGTCCAAAGTTGATGTCTTTTGCTTAGGTTAGAGTATTCATCATGCAGTTTGTTCCACAGACACTCGTGTCCGGCGTAGAAGCGTATCATGGTGATAAGATTTCCTTTGTGAGAAAATATATTTTCCAAATACTGCATGCGATCATGGGGGTATCGCTTGGAGGGAAAAGGCATAGTTATTATATAGCTATATTATTATAATTTTTGATTTCAAGTAAGAGCCAAAACAAAGATTGAATTTTATACTCTCAATATAATTTGAATGTCAGGCCCGCCACGTTTTCTCATTTCTGACAGACGTTTCACAACACTAGCACGAGCTCTTCGTTTGTTTTGTTCTCACATTCGTGGAAGGAACAACGTGCACGAAACATTCTATTTAGGTTTAACATTTAAATTGATAAAATGCCGTCGAAAATTAAGCCGAGACTCTCGCGTGGTGTCCTGGACATGAAATTCATGCAGCGCACCAAAGTGAAGGTGGACAAGGAAGACGACGACGAGCAGAGTCGGGCACTGTACTCGAACGAAATCAACGAGAAAATGTTGAACTCCAATTCCAACTTTATCATCGAGCCCAGCTATACGATTTGCGCTGGCCTCATAGATGGTCGTCTCAGTTTTCGCGGCATGAATCCGGACCTTGAGCTGCTTATGGAACAGGAGATGGCCCAAAAGCTCGGTAAAGTGAAACCCGAACAGCCCAAGGAGGTCTCCGACCAGGAAATGGCCAAGGCGTACTACACCAACAAGGCGCCCAGTGTCGCCAGTAACATGTCCAAGAAGTTTAGCACGAAGAACAACCTCAAGCGGAAGCAAGGAGGCAATAACCAAAGGCAACAAAAGCCACAGTTCAAGAGACCTCGCGACGAAGACGACGATTGAGCGCAGCCTTAGTTTAATCATGCTTTAACCTTCTTAGTTGTTACATAGATACTTAATTTTAGTTATCTTAAATATATTATGATTTCAATCCGATTCCTTCACAGCCTGCAGAGCGTAGCACATTTGGGTAGTGTTTATCCAGCGCCAAGTGTTGCGCCAGAAGTCGTAGGTGCTGCCATTAACCAGCACGGTCTGACAGTTCACTAGGGGACGTTAAAGACAGGACATGAACACGTGGAAGTGTTACTTTGCAGCTAATTATTGCTACTTACTCGTGTCCAATATGCGCTGAACATCCAGTGGGGAAATCATCTTTTCCCAATGATGCGTGCCCTTGGGCACCAGATTCAGTACATACTCGCTCAAGACCACTCCGGCCACCCACATAGGTAGAGTTTTGTTCAACGTGGTGATAAATATGGAACCGCCTGGTCTAAGGCTACGCACACACGCTTCCAGCAACGCCACTTTATCGTCCACGTGCTCCAGTACCTCGGATACTATGACGGCATCATATCGCTCGCAGTTTGATTTGGCATGCTGATCGACCGGCTCCATTTTGTACTTCACGTTGCTGCACAGCTCCGGGCTAAGCTCCGTCAAATGATCCCGAGCGGCGGCAATGAGCTTCTCGGCCAAATCTATGCCGGTAACCTGGGCCCCCAGGCGCGCAAGCTGCTCTGTCAGCAGGCCCCCACCACAGCCGACTTCCAGCAGCCGCTGTCCCTTCAATACCTTTGTGGTATTTACGTAATGAGGCTTCACATTGCCGCGCGCAACGATGCCATCGCGTATGAAAGGAACACTGTGCAGAATTTAGAACTTTGAACTCGGTAGAAAATTCAGGAAATTGCATCCACTTACCGTATCTCATTTAGGGCATGCAAGGCTTCCATTGACCCGTTCTGGTTCCACCAATCTGCGGCATGATTCTCGTGGTGCTGCACCTCACGTTTGGTGTCGGCATCGATTGTTGCACCGCCACCGCCGCTGCTGCTGCTGTTGCATCTGGCCAAAACATTGGCCAGCGTCTGTCGCAACTTGCTGTGATTAAAAAATTGAATAGTAAAGTATAATGAAACATTAACAGTATAATAAACATATTTACCTATTTGGAAAAATATAATTTCGCAGCATTATTTTGGTTCAAGAACAAAAAAACAAAGTGAACAGCTGATTTTGTGCTCTCTCATTCTCCTCTCTCTGTCTCTCTCTCTCCGCTTCACATTCTCTTTGTGACTTGAAGCTTTCTTGATTGTGATTTCAGGTGGTTTGGTTCTTTCTTTGCAATTCTTCAATTCAAGAGAGCGAGAAAAGGCATTATCACCTGCGTATTATCGATATAGATAACAAAGCAGGTGTGTGGCTATTACTAATCGGCGATCATTTAGGATTTTTTTGTCCACCGATCCGATCTAAAAATGCCGCAGCAATATAAGCCGCTGCATAACGAGGAAGATGTGGAAAATGCGGCCGCCACCGCTGCCGTCACTACAGGAGACAACAGACAACAACAACAAGAGGCTGCAAATCCCCCGGCAGTGCAATTGCTAATGGTGTCGCTGTTCATGCTACTCTTCTTTGGCTCCTCGTTCTTCCAGCCACGTCCACGACTACAGCACCTGAAAGGCAGCGGAAATAAGTACGATTCTACTAAGTATGACTGCAATATTCAGCTGGTGGAGTCCATACCCATCGGACTCAACTACTCCGAGGGCAGTCCACGGTTCTTGAGCACCTTTGAGGCCTGGCAGCAACTGCTGGACAGCGCCAAAGAGTCCCTGGACATTGCCTCCTTTTACTGGACCATGCGTGCCCAGGACACGCCGGGCGTGAACGACAGCAGCACTCAGCCGGGCGATGAGATCTTCAGGCGCTTCCTGGCCAACGGAAACGGTGGCGGTAAAACGCCCAGGCTGGATATTCGCATAGCACAAAGTGAACCCTCCAGTGTGTCGCCCAATGAAGACACCAAGCTGCTGGCCAGCAATGGAGCTGCCGAAGTGGTCACCCTCTCATTTCCCAAGTACTTTGGAGGCGGGGTCTTGCACACGAAACTTTGGATCGTGGATGAACAGCATTTCTATCTGGGCAGCGCCAACATGGACTGGCGGGCACTAACACAGGTCAAGGAGATGGGTATTCTGGCCCAGAACTGTCCACAGCTCACCCGAGATGTGGCCCTGATATTCAAAGCGTATTGGTGTTTGGGAAAGAGTACAGATGCAAAAATCCCATACTGGGGCCCTGATTATTTCACGCATTACAATCTCCAGTCACCCATGATCCTAAATGTGAACCAGAACACAACGATGGAGGGATTTTTGTCCAGTTCGCCGCCCCCAATCTCTGCTAAAGGTCGCACCGGCGACCTGGAGGCCATCCTAAGCACCATCGATTCGGCCATTACATATGTGAACATTGCTGTTATGGACTACTATCCGCTGATCATTTATGGCCAGCATCCCAAGTATTGGCCGTACATCGATGATGCCCTGCGCCGGGCGGCCGTGGAGCGGGGTGTGTCCGTAAAGCTGCTCATCTCCTGGTGGAAGCATTCGAATCCCAGTGAGAATAAATATCTCAAATCACTACAGGATCTCAGCTCAAAAAAGGATAAAATCGATATACAAATTGTAAGTTAAAAATAATGGAACTTACAGAAATTAAAAATAATTTTATTTTGTATTCCAGCGTCGTTTCATTGTGCCCACAGATGCGGATCAAGAGAAGATACCCTATGGTCGGGTGAATCACAACAAGTATATGGTCACCGATAGAGTGGCCTACATAGGCACATCCAACTGGTCCGGCGACTACTTCACCGACACCGCCGGCATTGGCCTGGTGCTCAGGGAAACCCACGAAACGGAGCACACCCAAACGCTGCGCAGCGACCTAAGGAATGTGTTTGAGAGAGATTGGAACAGTCCATATGCCCATGAGTTAGAATAGAGAGCTGTTAGTTTGCTGAAGCCTGGAAACTAGGAACCTCTGCTTATTATTCAGTTTTATTCAATGTATTATGTATTCACTTTTTTGATTATATTTTTATGTAAAATACAATAAAAAATTCGTTTTCGTATAACAGGAAAAAGTAAAAAAGAATTCAAATTATTAGAAAAGGAATGAGAATTGAGATTACAAAGTATTTACAAAAACAGAAAAAATTAGATTAATAATATTCCGTCCTTCAGGGGTTGCTACTTTTGATTTTCCGATTTTCGTAAAGACTACACTTAATAAGGAGTTGCCATTAAACTTACTTTAAATACTCTTCAACTTTAACATTGAACTTACGATTAAGAGGGTAGGGGTAAGGGGAAACAAACATGCCTTTGTGTGTGTTTTTGGTGGCATTATATTGCTTCAAGGAGAATCACCAGACAAGGGCTGAGAGGTATCCGTATCCAAATCGCATCACTTGACATTGGCATTGCCGCCGCGTTTCAGGAAATTGTTGCTAGCAATACTCTTGTCTATCGCCGTACTGATGTTGGGCACGCGATTCAGCAATGTGTTGTATATAAGCATCAGACAACGCGCATCGATGGCTGCAGAGGGATTTGGTAATTATTATTTTCTGATTCAACAGAAGATTCAGTTCCCCCGACCTGGTAGACGACTTACCTGCATACAATATCTGCTCGCGACGCAGCGGACGATTGGCCCAATTCGAGCATTGATTTGACTTGTTCAACTTCTTGCCCAAGCACACCAGCGACAGATCCGATAGGGCATCCCCGGCACGATTCACATTACCAAATGGCAGCCTAATGGCATAGCGTTGCTTCTTCAACTCCAGCCAAAGGGTGCGCAGATCCAGATAATGATGTGACAACTGTAAGCGCAATTGCAGCGGGAGCGAGCGCTGCAACACCGTCAAGTCGCTGTACATGGAGAAGCCCACCTTCAGGATGTTCATGTTGTTGAATACATCCGCTCCGAGGGCACGCCAATGATCCGCTGTGATGCTCTGCCTGGCCAGGCAATCGATCAGGTAGACATTGCGCACGGTGGCAATCTGCAGCAGACAGAGCTGGCTCTCCCCGCACACATTCTGCACCCACTCCGAGTCCATGTAGATGATATGTTCGCGCTGCAGATGGCCAAGCATAAGGTCGAATTGTGTGGCCGTGTCCACGGTGATGAGGCAATCGTCTGCCAAATCCATGGTCAGGTACATATCACAGCCGGTGGCCGAAGATGTGGCCCCATTATCATCAGGGGCTTGGGGCGCTTCTTCTTCGTCGATGCCGCGTGAGATCCGCGATAGAATGTCGTGCGGACAATCCTTGGGATTTAGCTTAAACTCTTTGTACCAGTATACAGCTTCGTTGCGTGAATCTTGTGCCCCCGCCACATACTTGACAAAGTCCACCTGGAGAGCATAATCGGAGGCATGCACGCTAACCATCTCCCGAAAGCTGGCCTGATTTATACGCGACTTCTCGTACTCGCGGAACAGATAATGCAAGTAGCCGCAGGTTTTTGTGAACTTGTAGTTCGGCGTGACGCCTTCGTCGAAGCCGTACTTCTTGGCCAGACGCGCCACCATCTTCGACATGGGGCGATAGCTCAGGACATTATGCGAGATCTTAACGTTCTTGTAGCGGCTGTAAGATAAATGCGGATTACTTGAGTGTTTCAAGGGGCGGGATGGGACGGCATTACGCACTTCAGAATGGGCTCGCAGAGTTCAAAGACCGACTTATCTTTGTGCAGCAGCGAGTCAAGAAACTTAACAAGCGGCTGACGTTGTGCTATCGCTTGCTCCAGGTACTCTTCGACCAGCGGCAGCTTCTCCTGTGCAATCAGTGGAAACGCCAGCTCCAGCATATCAAATTCGTTTGCCACCTGCAAGCTGATGGCCCACTGAGCCACCTCCTTGTACAGGCCAGAGTCCAGCATCTCGCGCAGCTTTGGCAGCAGGAGATTGCGTATCTGATGCAGGCGGTACGTCTCGATTATGGCATTGTTGAGTGAGAGCAAACCCGAGGTCTTGACGAAATTAAACGCTATCATGCTGGTGTTCTGATCACAAACAAGCTGCGGATAATCCATGTGCAGCTTGCACACTGTGTCCAGCACAAAGTGTGACAGGCTTTTCGGCTTTATGTTGCTGCAGTCGGGACAATTGGCAAAGATCTTGAGGGCCAGCAGCAGCGGCTCTTTGTGGTCCTTCAGTTCATTGCCGAGGTCCCGGCCCAGGTGGGGCGACTTGTTCTTGCTGTACATGTTCCATTTTTCGCGAAACACCGTAAAGAACTCCTGTGCTTCAGCGTCCAGGGTGGCATCAAAGTTTGTTCCATTAATTCCAGCACCTGTTGTGATGTTCTCCAAGCGCTTTATTTTCAAATTTATCATGTAGTCTTCCAGTGTATCCTCGTCGTCCTCGAAGCCGGCGGGAATAGCATTGTACATTTTCTTAGCCATCTTTGCGGTGGGCCAGTAAGTTTGGCCCAAGTTGCAAATTGCAATTTCGCGAAATTTTTGCCTGCCACTCGCCGAGTTGCAGAGCAAAAAGAAAAAAAAGCGCTGCCAACTCTGTCGAAATTACCCCAACAGTAAATAGATATGGCAATTTAGCTTATTTTTTAAATTAATTCATTTAACTTTATTTTTAGTTTTCAGCGGAAGGAACAAATGCTCTTGACTTATACAGTGCCGCTCAACTGAATAGTTTCAACAATTTTCAAAAGTCAAACCGCTATATCTTTTTAACCAACTTACCGATTTAGATTTTTTTACATAGATTGATTCATTGCTAATATAGCAAGAAAGTTTTTGGTTTCTAGGACACGTTTGCAATGGTTGAACAATATTTATTATAGCTAGAAAAAGCATAGCTTAAAATAGATACGCCATTTGGCTTTACTTTTTACAAAACGATGGCAGCACTCTTTTGTGGCAGGTGGCAGCTCCGAATAGGCGGCACACGTGCATTTTGTTTTAGTTGTGCTCTCAAAAATGAAGGTGGCAGCGAAGAAAGTGAAATCCTTTGGCAAACCCAAGGCTGGCATCAGTAAAAAACAGCCCAAACAAGAGACCAACAAAAAGACAGTTGCGAAAAAAGCAGAAAAGCTCAAAGATGAAAAGGTTATTGCAAAGAAATCCAAGCAGAAACCATTGGTGGCTTCAAAAAATGTAAAGCCCGCAAAGAAGGGGTCGAAGAAATCACACAAAGAGGATCTGGAGGGTCTTAAGCAGATAGATCCCGAGTTCTACGAGTTTCTCAAGACGAATGACAAGAAGCTGCTGGATTTCAATTTGCTGGATAGCGACGAGGAAGACGAGGACGAAGATGAGAAGGAAGCGGTGGCGCAAAAGGACGCCGACAGTGACAGTGGGGACGACGAGGAGAACGAGGAAAAGTACCACAAGCCCAGTGACGATCTGGCTGTGGCGAGTGATGAGAGCGACTTTGAGGAGGAGGGCGAGGATGAAGCTGCTGCTGTCGGAGGGACTCAAAAGGTCACCCTGAACCTGTTGCGTCAGTGGGAACAGCAGCTGGGTCAGACCAACGTATCCATTGACATTGTGCGCAAAGTGATCCAGGCCTTCAACTCGGCCCTGGCCAGCATCTCCGCTGATGGGGCAGACGGCGGCGAGAACCAGCCGAATGCTGCCGCCTTTAAAGTCGTCGGAGCAGCCTCCTTCAATGGCGTCATCCAGCTGTGCGTGCTCCACTTGCAGCCGGCCATTATCCGAGTGCTGGGCGTGAGGCCCAACAGCAGCCTGCCGCTGCACAAGCACAAAAAGTGGGTCAAGGTGCGCGGCTGCCTGCGCTACTACCTCACCGATCTGATACGCCTCGTGGAGCAGGTATCGAGCGCAAATATACTGGGCGTGCTGCTCAAGCATCTGCATCAGATGGCTGGCATGGTCGCCCCCTTCACGGCCCTGGGCAAGACCATACTGAAGCGTTTGATTGTGCTCTGGGCCACGGGCGATGAAACTGTTCGCGTGCTGGCCTTTCTCTGCATCCTGAAGATTACCCGGAACCAACAAGTACGTACAGAAACCCCTTCTCACCGGACTGAATTGGAAAATAATACTCTCTATCTCTCTCTGTCTTCCAGGGGACAATGCTGAACCATGTCCTGAAGGCCATGTACTTGGCCTACGTGCGCAACTCCAAGTTTGTCTCCCCCAACACATTGCCGGGCATCAACTTTATGCGCCGCTCCCTGGTAGAGATGTTCGCCTTGGACTTGAACGTGAGCTATCAGCATGCGTTCCTCTACATCCGCCAGCTGGCCATTCACCTGCGCAATGCGGTGATTTTGAAAAAGAAGGACAGCTTCCAGGCCGTGTACAACTGGCAGTTCATTAATTCCCTACGTTTGTGGGCGGATTTGCTAGGCGCCAGCACCAACAAGCCGCAGCTGCAGCCTCTGGTCTATCCATTGGTCACCATTGCCACGGGAGTGATCCGCTTGATACCGACGGCTCAGTACTTCCCATTGCGCTTCCACTGCCTGCAGACACTGATTTCTGTGGCCAAGGAGACGCAGACTTATGTACCGGTGCTGCCGTTGATTGTGGAGGTGCTGCGCAGCAACACCTTCAATCGCAAACACTCGACGGTGTCCATGAAGCCGTTGCAGTTCACCTGCGTCCTCAGGCTGAACAAGGGCCAGCTGGCGGAGAATGGCTTCCGCGATGAGGTCATCGAGCAGGTGTGTGCCTTGCTGTTGGAATATCTCGCTCACGAGTCGGCCTCGCTGGCCTTTAGCGACTTGGTTGTGCCGGCCGTGATGGCCATCAAGGCTTATCTCAAGGAGTGTCGCAATTCCAATTACACGCGAAAGCTCAAACAGTTGCTCGACAAGATCCAGGAGAGTAGCAAGTTCGTTGAGCAACAGCGCAGCAAGAGCACCGTCACCTTTGACCTGAAGGATGCCCAGGCTGTGGCCGCCTGGGAGCAGCAGCTGCGGCTGAAGCGCACACCCTTGGATATCTATTATGCCAGCTGGCTGAAGACACACGAGACAAAGAAACGACGCCAGGCGGCTCAAACGGACGAGATCAACTCAGACTACGCTGTGCCGAAGCTGAAGCGGCCAGCGGCCAAGACGGGAGTGCCCGTGCGCAACGAAAACGGCGAGCTGGAGCTGTTCCCCTCCGACTCTGAGGATGATGAGGGTGGTCCGCACATCCCAATGGATGACGACGATGATGACGAGTCGGAAGTTGAGCAGCCCAAGCAGAAAAAGATCAAGGTGGCGAAGTCCCAAAAGTCAAAGGCTGTTATTCCAGAGCCAACGGAGGAGGCAGCTGTCGATGATTATGACGAGGCCGGGGCGGCTGTTGACATAGTTAAGGACTTGGATTTGAATGATTGGTAGAGCATTAAACTATATAATTAATATATTTACACATTAAATTCATTTAAAATATGTATCCCTTCCCTAAGCTACTTCTTCTCTGGTGGATCCCGTCCCGGTATGAATTCGTAGTCTTTGTACTTGGGAAACGTGCCAATGGTTTGGCCCTCCACCTGCTTCGGCATTGCTTTCTCATCCTTGGCCTTTGCATAGGTGGCATCCAGCTCGGCCGCGTTTCGCTTTTTCATGTCCATAATTTGTAGATTTTTCACCAGCTCCTCACGCGTCGGGGGTTCTTCACGACGTCCCCGCAACCAGGCCTCCCATTCGGCGGTTAATTCTTGATCGAACGCATCCTTGTCTGCCGGCTCAAACCAACGCGAGGATTTGCGCTTTCCAATCGCGGGGTTTGCCGGAATCTCAAAGTATTTGTTGCCGAAATAATCCTCTCCAATGTAGTTGCCGCGGAATTGGCGCGGTCGCAACGAATTCCAAAAGTTTTTAAAAATAATACCAAATATATCACGCGTCGGCTTCTGGGCCATGCTGCTTTTTGATTTGTTTTGTTTTTATTCAAATTTGAAAGTAAAATTAAATTGAGATTTGGGTGAAGGAATTTTTAGGTTAGGTCCTACTTTTGTTATGACATTATCAGCTGTTGGACTGGGCAGTGCTGCAAACTGCCTGAGGTAAGGCGGACGTATTTAAATCCGAAAATTGTGCTTCAGTGGCAGCGAAAACGGACTAAACCAATCTCGATGGAAAACAGCTAATAAATCTGTGCGAAGACTTTTGTTATTGTATACCATGTCGTGGAGGACTAGTCCCACACCAGCCGAGTAAGTGAATTGCTCCCCCGACCAGCTGGAGGTTCCAATATAGACGACATCCTCCGTGACCATGTAGGAATTATGACTGACACGTCCGTGGGCGATCTTTTCGTGAGCCTCTGTGGTGGGAACCACAAAGCGGCGCTGCAAAATGAGAAAGATAAGTTCATGCTGATGTCAATTTTATGCCTCACCCACAATTTCTATGTCGACTTCTTCCCTCAGCTGGGAGAGGGCCTGCAGCGAGCGTAGAAAGTGATCTTCGCTTGGATCGGAATACTTCCACCAGGATATGAGCAGTTTGATGACCACTCCTCTTTCGACGGCAGCCTTGCGCAGAGCATTATCTATAAGCGGCCAATATTCTACCTGGCTTTCGTGCCTCAATAATGGATAATAGTCCACCAAAGCAATGCAGACGAGTTCCGTCGCCTTGTCGATGGCATTAAGGACGGCATCTAGTTCATGCGCACGCCCTGAGGCCGCCAGCGGAGGCGGTGAACTGGAGATGTAGGCGTGCATTGTGTAATTCATGTTCACATTTAGCAGCAATGGTCGCCGCTGATTGATGTGCGTGTGATAGATCCAGGGCCAGTAGCTGGGCATATCGTTGCTGCCCAAGTACCAATAGGCCTTGAAAATCTTCCCCAGATCACGGGTCAGATGGGGACAGTTTTGCCCCAAAACACCCATTTCCTTGCGCTGGCTCAGCGATCGCCAGTCCATGTTGGCGCTGCCTAGGTAGAAGTGCTGTCCATCCACAATCCAAAAATTTCCGCGCAGCCGCTCAACTGCCACCACATCGGCAGCCCCGTAGTTGGAGAAGATCCTGGCGTCCGCATGCCAGATACTCTCCTGGCTGCGGTTCAGGGCGATTCGTATGCGCAGTTTCGGCCTACCCGCATCGCCGTTGGAGAGCAGGCGCTGAAAGAGCTGATCCCCATGCTGAGTGCTGCTGCTGTCATTGACACCGACACCGCGTAGCGTCCAGTAGGGTGCGGCAATGTCCACAGAGGTCTTTGCCTTGCCCAGCAGCAGCTGCCAGGCCTCGAACGTACTGAGGGTCATCACCATCAACTGAGGGTGGTTGCCGCCGCTGTAGTTGAGGCCTGTGGGCAGGCTCTCCACCAGCTGGAGTTGGCATGGAAACGCGGCCGCAACTGGGCCAGGGGTGCTTGCGTCTGCCCCCTCGTTGCGGTGGAAGGTCTCCCAAGGCAACAGCAGGACTATCAGCACAAGAACGAACAGTATGAAAACTGGTATGATGTACCCGTGACCACAGCAGCACACTTCTCGCTCATCTCGCGCGACAATATTGCAGTTTGGCCGCCTGCAGCAGGATGAGGTTGATGGAATGTGATCTGCTTGTGTGGCCACTGGCTGGTAGTCCACGGGTATGTCCTGAACCCCACGACGCTCTGACATGGCGCTTGTCCCTGGCTGACTCTGACTGCGCTTCAACAAACATGTTTCCCAGTGTTTTACTTATTTATTATTCGCACAGTTGTTAGAAATGGGCCGCCCGCCTACGCAAACAAACGGGCCAGTAATGGGTAGCACCAGCGAGCGTACGATTAACCCATTGTCGACCAGTGGGTATTAAAATACACTCCAACAAAGAGATGAAGGTTGAAGAATTTTACCGAAGTTCAGGTGAAAAATATCGTGGTAATTTTTTTCGAAGTAACGAAAAGGATGAATCTACAAGAATAATTTGCAAGAAGTATTATTTTCCACGGTTTAACTAAAGTTTGTCACCTGTTTAAATAAATGTGGGTTAAGTGGGTGGAACTCTCGCACACTGGCGGGACCCCCACTGCATCCGCGGTTCGCAGTCTGTTTTCTGTTGTGTTAAAATCTTCCGGCTGAGAGGGCTGAAAATTTTGATACGCGGCTGGGCTTGAACTTGGAACTTTTTGTGCTGTAATCAAATCTCGACGTGTTCTCTACGTACTTGCATATTAGGCAAATAAACGCGAAATAATGGCTGCGAGACTAATGAGTGCCCAGGCACAGGTACGTTGATTGCCGCGCGTTTGTGTTCTGCCTGCCTATCGTGCGAATTTCCAATAGAAACCTAAACCTACGTACACCCCAATCAAATTTTATCAAGACTGGAGGAACAGTGCAATAACAAAAAAATACGTGAAAAATCATGCGTATTCATGTGCAGGATCTTAGGATGGGGAAAAGTGGCCAATATTTTTGCTCAGTTCTTTTCTAACCTAAAAACGAAATCAAAAGTTGTTACCTAACACCGAGGTACATTGTGATAGTGATTCCCATCCGTTCCCTCCTATCCCCTGCCGTTCCTACTCCATGGCTAAGCTACAAACGCATCTCTTGGTTGGAAAAGGCTGGTGCATCAGTGGGCGGTGCATTTCAATTAACACCATTTTGGATCTATTATAATTTGCATTTACATAATAGTTGCGCTGCCTGCCGTGGGTTATTTAACCAGGAGATTCGCTAGCATATATCTTGGGTCCGGTCGGTCCGTCTTATCTGTGACAGGTTTACTTACATTCAAGATAATGCCTACAACTAAATATAGCTTCAATTAAATGTTTCTTAGCAATTGTATCACGCGCTCGCCAATGGTTTTTTGCAAAGGCTTCACTGTACGGTGTTCTGTACTGTCTGTGGCTTGCCAACAAGTTAATGACCCTATTTGTCGACGTAATTGCATTGCAGTTTCGATTTTGTTTGGCTTTCTTTTGGTTTCTAGAATGTTGCAACAATGTACAAATTAATCGGGTGATATTTACTTTTATATGTAAATTGGATTACATATATTGAAATGATTTATCATTCGTTTATCTGATAAATATACATTTTTATCTAGTACATAACTACATATGTATATATTTCTTAAAAGCTTATCATTATTTGTATATAAATGTGTATGATTTAATAGATTCATTGTGCCAGTTCATTGATCTTAATAATTTTGCACAATATAAAATATAGTAGCAAAACCCGTGACTCTTATGCAAATGTGTATATGTGTGTATGCATGTAGATGAGTATGTATATCTGGAATATACAATCAGCTGTCCACATAACGAGCAGTTAATAGCATACACTTTTTAGATTTTCAAGATATACTTGCAGCTACATTGTGCATGTGAATTTTTCCAAAATATAATTAACAATTCCCCAAACATTACGCGACAGCGGAACGATCGCGGGATTATCGATACGATATAACGATAGAGTTGAGATATTTTAATTCTTGAGCCTCTTGTAAAGCTGGTTACATGAGAAAATACGTTTGCATTGGAAAGTGGCAATAGTTTGAGCTAATTTTGATGCTATAATATATTATATTTTAACCTGTTATTGACGCGGCATCTTTATGCTCAACTCGAGACGCACAAGCGAATGCTGAACAAGAGAATTCTCGAGAATTGTACAACAACAGTATACTTGTCGTCTGCATGAAGCCACAAATTGATGATCGACTATAGCTTCTACTGTATTTAGTAGATCAAACCCTTATCAAGCACCTATCTAATATAGGCTCTTAATTACGATTTAGACATTTCCTTGATAACGCGGCTTCAATCAAATTAATGTTGAGAGGGCCCGTGACATGTTAATCTAGTGTTTATTACGCTCTAAACGAATCCATCAAAAAAGAAACAAGCACAGTGTCCCCCCCAACCAAACGATTTGATAATAAACCAGTCGGTAGAGAAAGCAGACGGATGGAGGCTGCACTGTACTGTCCCGGTTGTTGACTTTAGTGAGAATATGTGCTAATTATACGATGTACGATCTTGATCTGGTTTTTCAGGTGTGCAGGCTGGGCAAAAATGTTGTCAGTGAAACAGCGATGGTGCGCCAGTTCCATGCCTCCTGCTACTCGGCCTCGAAGGTTGCCCTGTCCAAGTTCGACTCGGACGTCTTCCTGCCGTACGAGAAGCTGAACCAGCGACTGGATGTGGTTCGCAGTCGCCTCAATCGCCCGCTGACGCTGTCGGAGAAGGTGCTGTACTCGCATTTGGATGATCCCGCCAATCAGGATATTGAGCGCGGCACCTCGTATCTGCGCCTGCGTCCCGATCGCGTGGCCATGCAGGATGCCACTGCCCAGATGGCTCTGCTGCAGTTCATCTCGTCCGGCCTGAAGCGAGTGGCCGTGCCCTCGACGGTGCATTGCGATCACTTGATCGAAGCGCAGGTTGGTGGCGTTAAGGATTTGGCCCGCGCCAAGGATCTGAATCGCGAGGTCTACGATTTCCTGGCCAGCACCTGCGCCAAGTATGGGCTGGGCTTCTGGAAGCCAGGCAGCGGTATCATTCATCAGATCATTCTGGAGAACTACGCCTTCCCCGGCCTCCTCATGATCGGCACTGACTCCCACACCCCCAATGGCGGCGGTCTGGGTGGACTCTGCATTGGAGTGGGTGGCGCAGATGCCGTCGATGTGATGGCCGACATTCCCTGGGAGCTCAAGTGCCCCAAGGTGATTGGTGTCCATCTCACGGGCAAGATCAGTGGGTGGACGTCCCCCAAGGACGTGATCCTGAAGGTGGCCGACATTCTGACCGTTAAGGGCGGCACTGGTGCCATCATTGAGTACCACGGCAAGGGCGTTGACCACATCTCCTGCACGGGAATGGCCACCATCTGCAACATGGGTGCTGAGATCGGTGCCACCACTTCGCTGTTCCCGTTCAACAAGCGCATGGGCGATTACCTGAAGTCCACCGGACGTGCTGGCATTGCCGCCGAGGCCCAGAAGTTCCAGTCAAAGATTTTGACGGCTGACAAGAACTGCGAATACGATGAGCTGATTGAGATCAATCTGGATACCCTGGAGCCGCATGTGAATGGCCCGTTCACCCCCGATCTGGGCCATCCCATCAGCAAGCTTGGGGAGAACTCCAAGAAGAACGGCTACCCCATGGACATTCGTGTGGGTCTGATTGGCTCCTGCACGAACTCCTCATACGAGGATATGGGCCGTTGCGCCAGCATTGCCAAGGATGCCATGGCCCATGGCATCAAGTCGAAGATACCTTTCAATGTGACCCCCGGCTCGGAACAGATCCGTGCCACCATTGAGCGAGATGGAATCTCGGAGGTGTTCGACAAATTCGGCGGTACTGTGCTGGCCAACGCCTGCGGGCCCTGCATTGGCCAGTGGGATCGTCAGGATGTGAAGAAGGGCGAAAAGAACACCATTGTCACGTCGTATAACCGTAACTTTACCGGACGTAACGATGCCAATGCGGCCACCCATTGCTTTGTGACCAGTCCCGAGCTGGTCACCGCCCTGTCGATTGCCGGTCGTTTGGACTTTAATCCGTTGACGGATGAACTTACCGGCTCCGATGGCAAGAAGTTCAAGTTGAAGGCCCCGTTCGGTGATGAGTTGCCCGCCAAGGGTTTCGATCCCGGTCAGGATACCTACACCGCTCCCCCAAAAGTGAGTATCCATTGAGATTTCTGTGCCCGTTTGGTATTTCCTTTACATTTTCATGTTTTCTCACAGACTGGCGACTCTGTTTCGGTTGCTGTGGATCCCAAGTCGCAGCGCCTGCAACTTCTGGAGCCCTTCGACAAGTGGAACGGCCAGGATCTGACCGATCTTACCGTGCTGATCAAGGTCAAGGGAAAGTGCACCACTGATCACATCTCGGCGGCTGGTCCCTGGCTGAAGTATCGCGGCCATTTGGACAACATCTCCAACAACATGTTCATTGGAGCCACTAATGCAGAGAATAATGAGATGAACAACATCAAGAACCAGCGCAATGGCTCCTGGGGCGGTGTACCCGATGTGGCTCGCGACTACAAGGCCAACAATGTCAAGTGGGTGGCCGTCGGTGATGAGAACTACGGCGAGGGTTCGTCCCGCGAGCATGCCGCTCTGGAGCCACGTCATCTTGGTGGCCGTGCCATCATTGTCAAGTCCTTTGCCCGTATCCACGAGACCAACCTGAAGAAGCAGGGTCTCCTGCCACTGACCTTTGCCAATGCCGCTGATTACGATAAGGTATGAGGGGCTTATCCATTCGATTTGAAGTGCCAAAAATAATCAAGATCTGTTTTTTTAATAGATCCAACCCACAAGCAAGATTTCCCTGGTCAATTTGAACGACCTGGCGCCCGGCAAGCCCGTCGATTGCGAGATCAAGAACGGCGACAAGGTCGATAAGATCAAGCTAAATCACACATTGAACGACCTGCAGATTGGATGGTTCAAGGCTGGTAGCGCTCTCAACCGCATGAAGGAGCTGGCCGCCCAATAAATGGCGCACCTTGAACTTACTTAAGATCCCCCCGTATCCAAAACGATTCTGTTTACCCGATCCTATCAGATACCAGATAGGTGTAGACACATACTCAGACACACAACGCAAGCAATCAAGTTTATGGTATTGTTATTCAATTTTTTTTCAAATTGTTTATAG